TGTTTTGGATCATTGTCCATCTGTACTGTGAAGTGCCATCCATTTAACTTTGCTGCATTTGGCTGAATCTGGGCTGACAGTATATCTCTAAACACTGCAGAATTCATCCGGCTGCGTCTGTCTTCTGTCACATCATCAATAAACATCAATGACCCAGTGCCACTGGAAGCCATGCATGCCCATGCCATCACACTGCCTCCACCATGTTTTACAGATGACATTGAGTGCTTTGGATCATGAGCTGTTCCAAGCCTTCTCCACACTTTTTTTTCTTCCCGTCATTCTGGTGCAGATTAATCTTCATTTCATGCATCCAAAGAATGCTTTTCCAGAACTGGTCTGGCTTTTTTAGATGTTTTTTGGCAACGTCTAATCTGGGTTTTCTGTTCTTCAGGCTTATGAATGGTTTGCACCTTATAGTGAGGCCTCTGTATTTGCTCTCGTGACCTCTTCTCTTGATTGTAGACTTTGACAATGATACGCCCACCTCCTGGAGAGTGTCCTTCACTTTTTTGGATTTGTGAATGGGTTTTTCTTTACTATAGAGAGGATCCTGCAATCATCCACCACTGTTGTCTTCCGTGGACGTCCATGCCTTTTTATGTTGCTGAGCTCATCAGTGTGTTCTTCTTTCCTCAGAATGTACCAAACTGTTGATTTGGCCACTCCTAATGTTGCTGCTATCTCTCTGATGGATTTGTTTCGTTTTGAAGCTTTACAATGGCCTGTTTCACTTGCATGGACAGCTCCTTTGAATACATGATGTAGGTTCACAGCAATATTATTATTATTATACAGGATTCATATAGCGCCAACAGTTTGCTCAGCGCTTTACAATATAACGGGAGACAATACAGCAACAATACAGTTCAATACAAGAGGGATAGGAGGGCCCTGCTCCTTGAAGCTTACAATCTAGGAGATAGATTCCAAATGCAAATACCACACTTAGAATCAACTCCAGACTGTTTACCTGCTTAATTGATGAAGAAATAACGGAGTAGCCCACACCTGGCCATGAAACAGCTTTTGATTCAATTGTCCAATTACTGTTGGTCCCTTGCAATTCCCAAACCCTTCCTCTAGTTTGGGTGTACATACCCTCAAATTAAACCTGAGAGTGCGCACTTTCAGTCCATATCCATTATATAACTATAGCTTGAATATGTTTTGGTAAATGCCTGAAAAAAAAACAAAAATTGTGTCTGTGTCCAAATATATATGGACCTAACTGAATGTGCAATACGGCATCTCCATGTTATTGTTTTTTGGTTTTTTTTTTTTTTCATAACCAGAGTTTATTAAGATTTTGAGCAATACAAAAGAAAAAGGAATAAGAAAATGAATAACATAATTACAATGAACAGGTATTGTACAACATTCCACAATGTACAAGAGTGCATAAAGTCCAGGTGTAGGTGGACAGCCAGAGAAGCCTTGACCCAACATATACAGCAGATAAAATAAGTATTAACACATCAACATTTTTCTCAGTAAATGTATTTCTAAAGGTGCTATTGACGTAAAGGTTTCACCACATGTTGTTAACAACCCATATAATCCATACATACAAAGAAACCAAAACAAATAAGTTCAGAAATTAAGTTATGTGTAATAAAATGGAATGAGACAGAGAAAGTATTGAACACGCTAACTGAAATGTATTTAATACTGTGTACAAAATCCTTTGTTGATAATGACAGCTTCAAGACACCTCCTGTATGGAGAAACTAATCGCATGCATTGCTCAGGTGTGATTTTTGTCTCAATCTTCCACACAAACAGTCTTCAAATCTTGAAGGATCCATAGGCCTCTTCTGTGAACTCTGATCTTTAGCTCTTTTCATAGATTTTCTATTAAATTCAAGTCAGGTGATTGGCTGGGCCATTCTAGCAGCTTTGTATTCTTCCTTTGAAACCATTTGAGTTTCCTTGGCTTGTGTTTCGTATCATTGCCTCCTGAAATGTCCATACTCATTTCATCTTCATTATCCTGGTAGATGGCAGCAGATGTTTATCAAGAATGTCTTGTTACATTTTTCCATTCATCCTTCCTTCAATGAATTGAAGTTTGCCAGTACCGTATGCTGAAAAACATCCCCACACCATGATTTTTCAGCCATTCAGATGTTTAGAATCTTTCTGTAGCAAATGCCATCAATATGTTTTGCAACAGTAGGGTTGCGAAGGTCTTTAGAGAGCTCTTTGCTTTTACCCATCATGAGATGTTTCTTTTGTGACACCTTTGTAATGAGACACCTTTTTATAGGCCATCAGTTGAGACTGAACCAGATGATATTAGTACTGACAAGGGGGAGGATTACTTTCTAATCACTGATTGCAGCTGGTGTCTTGGTTTTCCATGCCTTTTTGCACCTCCCTTTCTTCATGTGTTCAATACTTTTTCCCTGTGTCATTCCATTTTATTACACATACATATTATTAAACATAAATTTATGAACTTATTTGTTTTGGTTTCTTTGTATGTATGGTTTGCATGGGTGGTTACTGACATGTGACGATTTCCTGTCAATAGCATCTTTAGAAATATATTTATCTAGAAAAATGGTGATGTGTTCTATATTTATTTTACCCCTCTCTATATCTAAAAATTCTTCAAAAAAGCAGTATAAGGGTCCAGGAAATTAATCAAAATTGAGCAAGGATCATTTGGACAACCAATGCACAGAGAAATTCAAAGTATGTCATGCACAGTACTATACATAATCCTATGAACATGTAAGGAAAACTAACAAATCAATCAGTGAAATAAAACCTAAGGATGTAAGTTCAGAGAGGCAGGTTCATAAAGGTATCAGAAATGCCAAGCCAGGTGAGTTTACCAAGCAAGGCTGCTGTATGATAAAATAAGGGTCAATTATCTCAGCATCCACGCATCCCTGAATTTATCCTGTTGATTTTTAACCGTCTGTACCCAGCCTTCCACCTCCATTAGTGCATTCATCTCCCTTTTCCAATCAGTTATCAAAGGACAACTGGCCTGTTTCCAAAATCCGGGCATTAGGGATTTTGCAGCATTCAGTAAATGGGGGTGACACTTATCCTATAAGATTTGATGGAGATGGGGATATCATGGACCATAAATTGTAAAAGGGTGCTTTCTATTTGTCTAAGGGTCATCTCCGTCTTCTTGTTTGTGAAAATTGATTGATCATATGATATAGGTAGAGGAAAGAAGAGGTGAAGACTGCACAAACAGGTGTCATCACTCACTGCTAGCTCAGCAAGAACTCTGAACAGGGTCAGCACACACCATTGTGATATCCTGGCAGCTGTACCTGCCAAGTGCACGTTTTAAGGATCTACACATGGAAACCCTTCTGAGTGACGGATACAAAATGATTCTGCCAGTCACAGCTGGACATAATACAAAAATGTACAGCAGTAAAAGTTTTTTTATTTTTGTTACAAGAGGTATAATTGTGGATTTTTTTCACATTGGGGGATTAACAAAGGGAAAAATGCCAACCGAGCAATGCCATTACATAGAGTTTTATATGTTGATGCGAAATCACCTCTATTACTGTCCAATAGTAAGCAAGCACTTGCACCAATGTTCTAAGTTAAAAGTTGTTCTAAAATGTACACCATTAGCACAGTGGGTAAATAGTCAATATCATTTAGAGTTTACAGAATGGTTTTAGCTTTTTATTCATGGTGGTTAGTCACATAATAATTCCAATTACTATTCTTTTCTTTCCACAGGATCTCTACACACTGGCCGGAGTTCTCCCCCACCTGGAAGTGTTCCTGATGAACAGCAGCAAATTGCCCGTCAGAAATCCATCACCAGTATCAACAGTGAGGGAGAATTCATTCCTGAGGTATCAGCTCCATTGTGACAGAATTGTAAAGACAGCTGAAAAGGACATATCGACACAAAGGGGTTTTTCTCTACATAAGCCTTATGCAGGCCATACGTGGTTCGAATCCAAATGATTTTCGTCCGAAAATCGGACCTAAGAATAATCGGCTGATTATCGGTCTGTTAGTGGGGCAATGGCATCGGACGATTTTTGTGGTTCCTCCCCATTTAGTTTATCGGGCATGCTGGAAAATTCGTGAAAAACAACCGATTTTAGCAATCATTGGTGGCACCATCGGATTACAGAACGAACGACACTTTGATTTCCGGACAAAGAATCTTTCGGAAATTGAACCATGTATGGCCTGCTTTAAGGAAAAATATGGGATTTTTGTTTTTAAACAAACATTATCCTCGTAATGATTAATCTTTCATATAATAATATATATGTACAATGGAGCAACCTTTTGAGGTCATTACATGTGCAGGCTTTGCTTTGTAGTGCGGTTATCTCCCACTTCAAGCTTGTCAGGCAGCTGAGGAGTATTTACAGTAATCCAGTACCTAGGTGACTTAGGCAGACCATAGAAGGTGCAAACCCGTAGTTGCAGGAAATAAATTTGCTAATTTCCCCCCATCAACACAGCCAGTGTTGACAGGGGAATCCCTCCCGCAGGGGGAGGGGTAAGCCGTCCCTGCCAGGAGAAGACAGTGATCATTGCTAGCGGCTATAACAGCCGCTAGCTTTAATCGCATGTACAAATCCTGCAGGCTGGTTGTACCCAAGTTAATTGAGTAAATTCTGTGTGCCCGTACATGGTTTGAATCTCAGCAGGTTCCTGCTGCTCGGCCAAGGTTCAAACCATCTATGGCTGGCTTTAGCATCTATCTTAGCAGTCCCTCAATAAGACTGCTAATTGTGTAGTGTAATATACAGATAGGTCCCTAGAGGGAGAATCTACAAATCTGCTTGTAAAATACTCGTATTGTAAAATTCTCATCTGTTTGTAAAATACTTATCATTATGTTTGTTCCCAGTGAAGAAAGCTAGAGTGCACAGTGCTGGTTGTCAGAGTACAATAGCCAACAGGGAAGATTCCTCCATCCATGCAGGAATGAATGAGAAAAAATCTTTTATTTCAATATTTTGTATTACCTTCCACAGGTGCTGGATTCCTTTATTAGTCCAAATGGCTCTCTCTCCAGTAGCTGTCATTCACTGGACCAATCACTGGACAGGTACGAATGCAAGCTGAAAATTGTGTTAGACTTTGATCTCCTTAGCTTTAGTATTAGCATATTAAAAGCTCTTAAAGCTTCCCTGCATCCTTCCTTAAGCCTTAGTGGGGGTTGCATTGTGGTGTTTGACTACTAGGTGCAGTTAGTAAGTTGTGAAAAAGTGGGCTGAACCTAGAAAGGGAAAAGTAATAATAACAATAATAATAATACATCACTATTATTATTATTTATAATGATAATTAGAAGAACAAATTATAGTGATTTTCTCATTAAAGATCAAAACACATTTGAGAAAGATGATCTTGGATTTTAAAGTATTGCTTGTTTGACAAGTTTTCGGTACTGAAACCCTTCACAGATGAGCAACAGATCACCTAAATGAAAAAGAGGAATTCCATCTTTGTAACATGGCATCACATCTGTATAGCAGTTCACTGCAGTAGCTGATTCATTACAGTCAGTGGTAAGCACAGGACTCTCTGTACACATTGTACACTGCGCAGAGGTCTCCCCCATATTATTTCCTCTTCTGGTGGAATATTGATACTTATAGTGTTCGGGTATTTTCTTTATTGGTCAATATTTCTGTAACTCTCCTAGTCAAATTTTCTTAAAAGAGAAGTACAGCCGAAGCTCGTCTGATTGTACATCTGTGGATCACAAGAGTGCAGTGTGTTCTGCACTCCAGTGACCCATTTTCTGCCAACTGCATGCTAATGTCAGATGACGTCACTCAGACGGTCCATGCTGCGGAAAAATCCTGACTATATGCTTCGGATCCATCCAGGAGCCTGGACTGACACCTGGCTCAGTCTCTCAGCAAACTGCTGAGAGCCTGAGCCAGCTGCTCTCACCCCGTCCACAGCCCAACACTCCAGTTAGTGCTGGGGGGCAGAGAGCCAGAGACTGACAGTCCCGGCTCTGCTCAGATTGGCAGGGAGAACTGAGCGATCAGCGGTGTCTGATCGTTCAGTTCTCACCCTTTAGAACCTTCAGGAGGACAGATGCAGCATTGGATCGATGCTGTATCCACCTAGGTAAGTATAATTGAAAAAAAATCCCATACTTCTTTTAAGGTTTTTTTTTCTCTTAGGATGTTATGGGAATGTTACATTTGCCCTTGAAAAGGCTACAAATGGAAACTGACATTTCAAAAACTTTACAAACATTACAGATATTATTTGTGACTTTTGTGAAAATAATGAGACATTTGGAAAGCAATTTTTTTAAATAGACCCCTTTTAAAATTAAAACTGGTCAATCCAAAAATGAATTTTTTTTCTTTGTTACATCTTTATCTGTAGAGGGCATAGGAAATAAAACATTTTTTCAAGGTAGTATTTCCAATAGAAAGCCTCATTTGTACTGAAAGCAAAAGAAAAAACAATATACATGTATTACTTTCTTATTTTAAGTAATGACAAAGTTATCATGGAATCAATTAAATGTATATAATGCTCTGATCCATAGGGGTGTACAGTGTGAGCTGAGGTGGTTATTGCAATTGGTGTATTGTAAAATGAAGGTGGTCATACATTGATCAACATTTGGCTAGTACAGCAGGGTCTGTGGGCTCCCCTGTTCAACCGAAGTTGATTCTTTAATCAATTTCTATCAAAGGAACATGTTGGAAAATTTTCCATCGATTAGCAGCGGCAGCCAATCAGCTGCAGCCACTGATCAGTGTATGCGGCAGGTCCCATTGTTAGAATACAATGTCCTGACATTCATCTTATCAAAGGCCATTTTTTTTCCCCTAAAATACAGTCAGGTCCATAAATATTGGGACATCGACACAATTCTAACATTTTTGGCTCTATACACCACCACAATGGATTTGAAATGAAACAAACAAGATGTGCTTTAACTGCAGACTGTCAGCTTTAATTTGAGGGTATTTACATCCAAATCAGGTGAACAGTGTTGGAATTACAACACTTTGCATATGTGCCTCCCACTTCTTAAGGGACCAAAAGTAATGGGACAGAATAATAATCATAAATCAAACTTTCACTTTTTAATACTTGGTTGCAAATCCTTTGCAGTCAATTACAGCCTGAAGTCTGGAACGCATAGACATCACCAGACGCTGGGTTTCATCCCTGGTGATGCTCTGCCAGGCCTCTACTGCAACTGTCTTCAGTTCCTGCTTGTTCTTGGGGCATTTTCCCTTCAGTTTTGTCTTCAGCAAGTGAAATGCATGCTCAATCGGATTCAGGTCTGGTGATTGACTTGGCCATTGCATAACATTCCACTTCTTTCCCTTAAAAAACTCTTTGGTTGCTTTGGGTCATTGTCTGCACTGTGAAGCGGTGTCCAATGAGTTCTAAAGCATTTGGCTGAATATGAGCAGATAATATTGCCCGGGACACTTCAGAATTCATCCTGCTGCTTTTGTCAGCAGTCACATCATCAATAAATACAAGAGAACCAGTTCCATTGGCAGCCATACATGCCCACGCCATGACACTACCACCACCATGCTTCACTGATGAGGTGGTATGCTTAGGATCATGAGCAGTTCCTTTCCTTCTCCATACTCTTCTCTTCCCATCACTCTGGTACAAGTTGATCTTGGTCTCATCTGTCCATAGGATGTTGTTCCAGAACTGTGAAGGGTTTTTTAGATGTCGTTTGGCAAACTCTAATCTGGCCTTCCTGTTTTTGAAGCTCACCAATGGTTTACATCTTGTGGTGAACCCTCTGTATTCACTCTGGTGAAGTCTTCTCTTGATTGTTGGCTTTGACACACATACACCTACCTCCTGGAGAGTGTTCTTGATCTGGCCAACTGTTGTGAAGGGTGTTTTCTTCACCAGGGAAAGAATTCTTCGGTCATCCACCACAGTTGTTTCTGTGGTCTTCCGGGTCTTTTGGTGTTGCTGAGCTCACCGGTGCGTTCCTTCTTTTTAAGAATGTTCCAAACAGTTGTTTTGGCCACGCCTAATGTTTTTGCTATCTCTCTGATGGGTTTGTTTTGTTTTTTTTCAGCCTAATGATGGCTTGCTTCACTGACGGTGACAGCACTTTGGATCTCATCTTGAGAGTTGACAGCAACAGATTCCAAATGCAAATAGCACACTTGAAATGAACTCTGGACCTTTTATCTGCTCATTGTAATTGGGATAATGAGGGAATAACACACACCTGGCCATGGAACAGCTAAGAAGCCAATTGTCCCATTACTTTTGGTTCCTTAAAAAGTGGGAGGCACATATGGAAACTGTTGTAATTCCTACACCGTTCACCTGATTTGGATGTAAATACCCTCAAATTAAAGCTGACCGTCTGCAGTTAAATTACATCTTGTTCGTTTCATTTCAAATCTATTGTGGTGGTGTATAGAGCCAAAAATGTTAGAATTGTGTCGATGTCCCAATATTTATGGACCTGACTGTATATTTTTGGAACATGTGGTCAGCACTGCAGGCTGTTGTCTATGTCAGGTGATTTCAGGGAAAATGGACATGTGATGAGCTGTAGATCAGCTGGAGGTATGTTCCTCAGATGATAGTCCAGTGTGTGGGATGAGGAAGCTGGGAAAAATGTTCCTCATTGCTGCATGTCTCCTGGGTAAACATTCCTCACATAACTGAGATTATGAGTGACAGAGACTGGCAACACACACAGAGTTACATGTAGACAGACAGAACACTCTGGATATATACAGCTATGTCACTTAAGGCAACCATTACAAAATGCGTAGCAGTAGACCATTCTGTTAATCAGTAGACATGAGAATAAGAACACAGGCTATTCATTCACTGTTGGTAATCTCCAGGGCTTTTTTTTCAGTTGGAGCGCAGGGAACGCAATTCCGGCACCTCCAACACTGAATGTATGTAATGGCAAGGGGTTCCTGGGTGTGCTGGAGGGTCTATTGATGTTGACTGCTGAGGGATCTACACTAGATCTATTGTTGCAGGGGGTCTATTATTGCTGGTGGGGGATCTATTTTTTCTGGAGGTGGGTCTTTTGTTGTTGAGGGTCAATCATTGCTGGGAGGGATCTACTCTTGAAGGAGGGGTCTATTGTTGCTGGCTGCTGGAGGGACTATTAATGCTGGCTAATGGGAGTCTACTGTCACTGGGGGGTCCTTGTTGCTGGGGGGGCTGTTGTTGCTGGCTGCTGAGGAATCTATTATTGCTGGAGATAATCTATCTTGGTAGGGGGTCTATTGTTGCTGGGGGGTCTACAGGGGATCTATTTTACTACTTTCCTTGTTATCATTAACACATTCCATAAAAATTAGTTACCACCACAAAATGATACTTGGTTCTGGGAGGTGGGTAAGCGGTGACGCCAAGGAACAGTGCTTGGAGGTGGGTAGGGGGTGGAAACACAGGGTGACTTGTAAGGGGGGGAGTTCCTGCACCTATTCTCTGAGGAAAAAAAGCCCTGGTAATCTCACATTTAAAGTATGTTGTTTTGGGTCCCTGGTAAACATATGGGCTGTACTCTAACAAATGTAATGTTCTGATGGTTGCCTCTTTTATAGTTTAAAGCTGGCCATACACACATAGGAGAGGATTTACTGACGGCAAATAGACTGTGCACTTTGCAATTGCAGTTGCTCCAGAGCTTCCAGAGAAGCACTGCTGCTCTTTTCACCGTCCAGCCACAGGCTGGGGGAGGGGCAAGACCTGAAGGTATTGCTTGATTGCAGAAGGTTCTGGTACTCTGTTCTTCCAGATAGAGCACAGCCCTGTGTAAATCTGAAAACCGGATGCACATAAATACAAATCAGTTGGCAGGTAAAACAACACCTCATTTTATCTGGGTGCTTAACTGTTTGTCTGGAGTTCAGCTTTAATACTTACAGCAACACTGTGAGAATAACAGTTTAAATGGATATGATAAGCTATTTGTTTGTCTTCCTTTGCTCATTTATCAGTAGTTATGTGTTGTGTATTATGTAAAGGTCTCTGTGTATTTGTTTGTGTGTGTGTGTGTGTGTATATATATATATATACAGTACAGAACAAGAGAAGCCTCCATTTAGTATCCACCTCTCCAGATGTGTCTTGTTTCCTCGGCACCCGGAGTACACAGTTTCTGTCAGGTCTCTGAGGCCCAGGCAGAGCTTGTTAGCGGAATGTTTTCTTTCTCCGTCTTGTGGTTATTTTATTTCTGGGGAATCCCCACGTAACATAATGGTTCTTGTTTTGGCCCACAGCCCAGCTTTTTCTACGCCAGTTCCAAGAAGAAAAGGTCAGCTGAAAGACAGCTTTGAATGTTTAGGTAATAAAGTTCATGAAACTTAAAAAAAGTATTATAACCTCTGTGTCACTCTCCTTCTTACTCTTTGTGTCCATGGGGTGCGGGGTCAAGTGTCAACTTTGTGCTGGCTGTGTTTTCACGTTGCTAAAAAACAAGAGATAGGGAGAGAAAGGGCCTACAAGTTTGGGGATAACGAGAAATCTGTTGAGTTGAGTGTTTCATGTTGAATGTAGAAACAACATGGCCCTCATATAGAAGTGGAGGAGAGAAAGAGCTTGTGTTATTTGTATCATCCAGTCAGATTGCTGCTTAAAAAGTCCGACCTGGACTTGAAGAATGGCAGGTGGAATCTGCTTGGTTGTTGCAGAACACAGATATTGCCTTGATTTTAACAAAGGCCCAGCATCGAAATCTCGCTAAACAGCACATTGGAAGCCAACAGGTTAACAAAAAGAGCATTTCTTTCAAAAATCATAGTAGATTGGGCAACACAACTACAGTGCATCCAGAAAGTATTCACAGCGCTTAACTTTTGCCACATTTTGTTATGTTACAGCCTTATTCCAAAATGGATTAAAATCATATTTTGCTCAACATTCTACAAACAATACCCCATAATGACAATGTGAAAGAAGTTCGTTTTGAAATCTTTGCAATTTATTAAAAATAAAAAAAAACTCATGTACATAAGTATTTACAACCTTTGACCTGACACTCAAAATTGAGCTCTGGTGCATCCTGTTCCCGCTGATCATCCATGAGATGTTTCCACAACTTGATTGGAGTCCACCTGTGGGAAATTCAGTTGATTGGACATGATTAGGAAAGGCATAAACCAGTCTATATAAGGTCCCACAGTTAACAGTGCATGTCAGAGCACAAACCAAGCCATGAAGTCCAATAAATTGTTCATAGACCTCCGAGACAGGATTGTATCAAGGTACAAACCTGGGGAAGGGTACAGAAAATTTCTGCAGCATTGAAGGTCCCAATGAGCACAGTGGGCTCCATCATCCGTAAATGGAAGAAGTTTGGAACCACCAGGAATCTTCCTAGAGCAGGCTGCCCAGCCAAAATGAGCGATTGAGGGAGAAGGGCCTTAGTCAGGGAGGTAACCAAGCACCTGATGGTCACTCTGAAAGAGCTCCAGTGTGGAGCTTCTCTGTGGAGAGAGGAGAACCTTCCAGAAGAACCATCTCTGCAGCACTCCACCAATCAGACCTGTATTTTAGAGTGGCCAGAACGAAGCCACTCCTCAGTAAAAGGCAAACTGCAGCCCACCTGGAGTTTGCCAAAAGGCACCTGGGGGACTCTCAGACCATGAGAAACAAAACTCTCTGGTCTGATGAAACAAAGATTGAACTCTTTGGCCTAAATGCCAAGCAAGATGTCTGGAGGAAACCAGGCACCGCTCACCACCTGGCCAATACCATCCCTAAAGTGAAGGCGGGGATACTTTTCAGCAACAGGAACTTGGAGACTAGTCAGGATTGAAGGAAAGATGAAAGCAGCAATGTACAGAGACATCCTTGATAAAAACCTGTTCCAGAGAGCTCTGGACCTTAGACTGGGGCAACGGTTCATCTTTCAACAGGACAATAACCCTAAGCACACAGCCCACATAACAAAGGAGTGCCTACAGGCCAACTCTGTGAGTGGCCTGAAGTGGCCCAGCCAGAGCCCAGACTTCAACCCGATTGAACATCTCTGGAAAGATCTGCAAATGGCTGTGCACCGATGCTCCCAATCCAACCTGATAGAGCTTGAGAGGTACTGCAAAGAAGAATGGGAGAAATTGCCCAAAAATAGGTGTGCCAAACCTGTAGCATCATACTCAAAATGACTTGAGGCTGTAATTGGTGCTAAAGGTGCTTTAACAAAGTATTGAGCAATTCTGTGAATACTTGTGTATTGTGAATATGTGTTTTTTTTATTTTTAATAATTTGCAAAGATTTTCAAAACGAACTTCTTTCACGTTGTCATTATGCGGTATTGTTTGTAAAATATTGAGGGAAAAAATTAATTTAATCCATTTTGGAATAAGGCTGTAACATAACAAAATGTGGCAAAAGCTAAGTGCCCTGAATACTTGCTGGATGCACTGTGAGTATCAAGAGTATTCTTCTGAAGTTCTAGTGCTCAAAGTTCATAACAAAAATCACATTAATGAATTATCATTATTTTCTGCCAGTGTTGTTCATTGATTTATTTAGCAGTATTTTGAATAAAACAAAGCTAGTTTATACTCATACTAAATTACCCCATTAGGCACGAAATGACTGTTTCCTGATCTGGCCATTTTAGCCAGATCAGAGAATAATTTCATGTCTGTGGGGCACCTGCACAGACACCATACAGGCAGTCCTAATGTGGTTGTACAGGCTGAAGATGTTTTACCTTAATGCATTCTCTGCATTAAGGTGAATACCCATCTGAGTGCAGCTCTAACACTACCCCCCTTAGCACCCTTATGCTTACCTGATCCCAATTTTGATCCAGCGCTGTGTATGAGAGCAGTGTCTCTCTCAGCTATCTCCCTACTCATTGGTTCAGAGACAATGGCTCCCACTGCTATTAATCACAGGCAGTTAGGAGGAAGAAGGGGGCTGGCTGAGAGGAGAGTTTAGTTCCGCTTTAACTTCTCAAACACCAATTGCCATGCTATAAGCAATAGGTACATTGGCTACATCATTCAGAATGGTTTGTACTCAGTTATAAAACCTTTCTAAGATGTCAATTACATGTTATTTGTTCTTTCTTATTGTAAATCAGATATAGTCATCCTTGAAGCCCATGATATTTGTGTTGTTTTCTTATATTCAGTGTTCTAATCATTGTTACTGTTTTTAGATTTTGAAATTCCCTTGTATGAGAGGTTTGGTAAAGGAGGCACTTTTCCCCGTCAGTATCACTTTTCCCAAAGTCGGAAGGATTACAGCGATGGTAAGTGGATCAAAGTAGCCACCAAAAAGAAAACCATCTGTATTATTATTATTATTATTATTACTACGAGTTTATATAGCGCCAAAGGGTTTGCTCAGCGCTGTACAATAGGGGGGGGACAATACATGGCACAAATCTGTAATAATGAATGTCTGTTCAAACAATGTACATCATATTTACACATTTTATACCGGAACATTTTTTTATTCAGCATTATTCTTATGCTTTATTATTACTATTATGTACTACAGACCTTAAAGGCTAAGTTCCCGCCCTCAGTGTAACAGCGGGCGGGGGATCTATTATTTTTTCTAAAAAGGAGAGCTTATCCTTTACAGAATGAGTGCACATTTAACACCTGTTATCTTCTGTACTAAATTCCAGAATATCAGGCTTTTCTCTGCCTCCCTCCTCAGGAATAATGTATGGTTAGCTGTTCATTTGCCAGACTTTGGTGTCTTCAGTGTACTTCTGCATTATAGACATTACAATGTTAGAACTGGAAACTTCTTTGTATCAACTACATATGGTTATCAACATAACGGTCACTAATTTTTACAAAGGTGCACTTATTCTTAAAAGTTTAGTCATTAAGGTCTGTGGTTGCGTTTGCAGAACATGCTTCTCAATGCAAAACTGAATGTTCATCTGAGTTACAGCCAGAATTTACTGCTGCCAACGTAACACACTCCCTAAACCTACAACTAACATGACTACCCCATTACCTTCAGCATTTAAAACTCCCAACCTACATAACCACTCCTGCACATCCCCCATCAACCTTGCACCTATTGTCCCCTTAGGGGAAGTGCCCTTTCCTCTAGGCTCCACCTCTTCCAGTCACAGGAAATTTACTGTGCCGTCCTCTGATTAATACGCTCCACCCAAACTGTATATGTGACTAGCCCTGGAGGCACGGCTGTGGATGAGGGGGTACCACCAGTCCTCCTTTATGGGGCCCAGGCAGCTGGGTGAATCTGATGTAGGCAGGGAGGGTGATTGGCATGGGGGGGGGTAATTACTGGAACCAATCCCCTGTATGGCACTCTGCAGCAGCTGAAAGCTAGCTTCTTCTCCTCTGCCTTCTGCTGGCTTTCAGCTGCTGCAGAGATAGTCATACACAGGACTGGTTCCGGTAATTTCCCCCTTCCCCGCTGCACCCATCACCCTCCTTGTGCATCATATGTTTCCCCCTGCTGCCAAGGCCCTCCTGTGCATCTCACCCCCACAGTGCTGCCAGCTTCCCTCCTCTCCTTCCCACTGGCAGCTACAAGCACACAAATAGGATCCTTCAGGATGGAAAGTGGGGGAATAGTCCAGTAAATAATTCACGTTTACCAGCCCCTTCCTTTCCTGAATGAGCACAATAAGTGATTGGTACTGATCACTCACTGTGTTCATAACTTAAGCATAGAAAACTGTGGGGGGGGGGGGGTTCGTGGTGGCTGTCAGGTTGGCTGTTAGGGGCCCCATGGTTTCTGACAGCAGCCCTGCCTGGAGGGCACACCACAAATGTGTAGCTGCACACTTACTTGAGGTGATGGTGATGACAATTGTAAATGGTGTGGATAGCATTGTAGTACCCTATACTTTTCTTGTTATATCACTTTTTACAATTATTCTTCATACAACAGACTATTGGTCTTTTATCACTGTTCTGTGTAGGTCGCCGGACATTTCCTAGAAGTTACATACCCCCAGAAAATTTGTTCCAGCTGGGTCCTAGCAGCAGAACGAGAAGTGTTAATGGAGATAGCACTCTGCAGTTTGATGAGCCCAGAAAGACAAGGTGGAGCAGCTCAGAGAAAAACTTACCATTTCTTCATTCCTCATCTGTTGATCACTGCAACAAATGTAAGTATCCAGTGCATATACAGTATAAAAAAACAAAGCTCTTGGAATTCAGACACCCATATTTGACCCAAGCAGACAAAAAAGTTAGATGCATTGGACTGTTGCAAGCTATCAGTTCACACCTAATGGGCTACTAATACACCTGGTCTGACACGCTTCCTCTCTTCCTCTGCAATGCATGTCTATATGAGGACAATTGTGATAAGTGGTTTTGCTGTTCCTCAGCTCTTCCAGCATAAAGCACTGGAGTGGAAACATAGGAAGTGTATTTCTGATAAGAGTAAAGGGTATTTTGAGGTATTTAGAATTAATTTAAAAAATATAACATAAGTATTTAGAGACAAACAGTGTGAGACTTCATGTGGGCTTGTAAAATAAAGTAAAATGATAATAACACCATCATTTCTGTTTGCTAATAAATGTAATAAAGTCAAACATGAAGTAATAAAGAGCATTGTGTTACAGCCCCACAGGCCCCAGAGAACTGGAGGCTGGGCAAGCTGCTTGGGAGAGGAGCATTTGGGGAAGTCTACCTTTGCTACGATGTGGACAGGGGGAGGGAGCTGGCTGTCAAGCAGGTGCCATTTGACCCGGACAGTCAAGAGACAAGCAAGGTGAGTGCTAAACAACTAACTTTTTTACTGGTGTTTCAGGTGTTTGTTTTTCTTCCCGGTTAGTGACTTAGGTTAAAATAAACGTTAATGCCTAAGCACAATTTTGCAACTTTGACGTGTTAGTAAAATAGTACATATTATTGCAACTACTTTGTGTATCCAGGTGGATTATACCTTGGGTTTTTTTTCAGGACAAATTGGAATTTGTTTTGGTGGTAAATGGTAATGGATATCTCCTGATTTTGTTTTTTATTATCAAAGGAATATAGGCCCAAAATAGTAATAAAATCTACTTTTTTTTTAAACTTTAACTGTATATTTCTTGCCATTACTATAATTTATTATAATGTATTCTCCTGCTTTGACGATTGCAGCGATACCACATATGTGTTTGTTAGTTTGTACCCGTGGTACAGCCCAAACACAACAGTGCACGTTTTGCAGTTTTTAAATCCTACCTAAAAACACACTGACACCGATACTAGCTGACACTGATACTAATTTTAAAAAATGTGGGGTTTTTTTGTTTTAAATTGTACCCAAAATATACTTATTGTGACCATTGACCCTGACCTTGACCCTAACACTAACCCTGGCAAACCTTGTTCTAGATATCTTTTTTTTATTTATTTTTCATTCTTTATTTTTTATTTTTCATTTTCTATTTTTCATTTTCTATTTTTTTTTGTTTGTTTATATCTTCCTCTCCTCCAAGAAGAGAAAAATACAATGTATCTTTACCTTCATTTAGAAGATAAAGTAAACACAGTGGCGGGCTCACATTGACCGATCACTGTGATAACCTGTCAGAGGAGTCCTGGGTCCCGATTGTTCGTACGAGACCCAGGGCTTGAGAGAGATATATGCAGCCCCACGCATAAAGACCCACTTCCTTGAGGCCGCATGTATGCGTATAGTCAGCAAGAAGGGGTTACGGCACTGAAAGATTATGATAGATTAAATGGCTTTGTTGTTTATTTGTGTCTCTTAGTACTTGTCTCTAATTTGGGATTACAAGGTTCACATTTACGATGATAGGCTGATTTAACAAAAGGGTTGCGGGTGTTCACACAATAAATTGTATAAAAGGTTCATTTGAATTATCCAATCCCAGTTTACTTATTGCATCTGCATATGGTTGGATAATCAACACAATTGTGTGAACATTCTCACCTCCTTTAGTAGATCACCCTCAGCTCTGTCTAAAGTTTTCAAATATACGCTATAGGACTAAAATCTATAAATTAAGCGACTTAAGTTTTTTCAGAAGTAGGTAAATTAATTTAGAATTGTGAAGATGATGGTATAGAGTAGCAGAAATGTCATTCCCATGCACACCAGTGACCTGGGGCCAAAACAGCATATTGAGATTAAATGCTCAACACATGAACACTTAGAAACTGTGGATTTCAGGCCTCATCTGAGTGGGCTGACCTTCCAGTTCAGTAGAATATTGACAGTGGGACTTGGGAGGGAGATTTAAAGTTTGGCCCAGGTTGCAGGTCCATGAACATGCCCCCCATTAGGTCATGACCATGTATTTCCACCCCAAGTACACAGGTATTAGGAACCAGCTTTAATATTTAGGTGCATTGGCTAAGTTGTAAGTTGTGGGATTTGCCCAGCTTTGGTTTACTGCAATATTTGAGTGTTTGGAAAACTTACCAGCCTGTGTTGCTTTGGTTGCAGGAGGTGAACGCTCTAGAATGTGAGATCCAGCTTCTGAAGATTCATAGACATGAAAGAATAGTTCAATATTATGGCTGCTTGCGGGACCCCACGGAGAGGAAGCTTTCTATCTTTGTAGAATACATGCCAGGAGTAAGCTGGATATTCTGTTTAAATTTATACTGTGACCAATAGGATTTACATATGTACAGGATTACTTTAACTGTTTAAGTAATAGCCTACTGCTCAGCGTAAAATCCACTTTACATCTTTCATATGATCCTTTACATTTATTTCTGGATGTTTTCAGCAAAAATAAGGATTATTTTAAATATACTGTATAAGCCTTTCAACACTTACCCTAATGAATTTTAAGGAAAGCCTTAGAACGAACCTTGGTAATCCTTTCCCTTGCCCTAATCCTAGTTAACCTAAGTCTTAAGCCAGCCATAAATGGTTTAAATCCCATCTGGTTCAGTAGGGACTGGCCAAGATTCAAATTATCTATGCATAGGCTGATTGTACCCAATTCGATTGTTATAAAACTTGGGTATAACCAGCCTGTCAGATTATTCATGTGATTATTTCCAGTGTTTTATCCACTAGCAGAAAAGAAAATTGCATAATCTATGGCTGGTTTAAGTTTTTCCCACATATTTTAAAAAGTAAACCAATCGCAATCGCAGCCCTCACTGAAGCCACCTGATTGATTACTGCACAAATAGTAGTAACCATGTGAATTTAAAAAGTAAAATAGATTCCTTCTCGGTCTACAATACTGTGATATTTCTTAATATATGTTGCATTATCTAGCATACAATGAAGTCAGATATATTTCCATAGAAACAATCTGAGTTTTCCGTAGTTAAACCTCATATTAGCTCAGCTTTACTACCTGCTTTAACACCTATATCATGTTCTGATAGTGACCCACTTGTTCCATTGTCCAGCTGTCTGTACTCCATTACCTGCACTCACTGCGATGTCTGCCAGCTGTTTCTCTAATGTCATTTTTCTTTTACCTGCCTTTTCTTACAGGGATCGATCAAAGACCAGCTCAAAGCTTATGGTGCACTCACAGAAAATGTCACCCGGCGGTACACGCGGCAAATTCTGCAAGGAGTGTCATACTTACACAGCAATATGATTGTACACAGAGACATTAAAGGTAAGTGTAAGAAGATTGTTACAGGACTTTCCTTTGAAGTCAATGAGACCAATACCACAATATGAAAGACAGGAACAATGAGGGGAAATGACCTTAAGTGCTTGGTCCTGACTTAGCAATTTCTGCCATTCTCTGTCAAAAAAAGAGAAAAAGTATAGTGTTTTATATATATTTTCTTTAACATTGCCAGAACTAAAATACAACTGATAACATTTTATTCAAGTAAATATAAAAATATTATTAACTGTATATGTACTTGTTGCAGTAATCAGGGGGAGCTTTTACTGCGCTAACATTAAAGTATATTTGCACTTTGAGACACAGCAACACCACTTATGCATGTTGTAGACTGGATTTGGCTTAAAGCCTTTAATTGCTCTGGTGAAAGAGCCTGTTTTGTTTACAGAGTTGATTAACTGACACTTGTCAGCCATACATGGAGCAAATTTGGCTGATTCACAGGGACCGGACGAATTTCGAGCCATGTATGGGTGGGTTGTTTGTACACAAGTCATTCTATCAGTTGACTTGTGTAAGCCAGCTTGCCAGGTCTTTTCTGAATGATCAGTGCTGCTGGTTGTAGTTGGCAGTAATGATCATTGTATTCTGTTGGTGGGGAAGGACCCCCCGCTGTCAGAATACAATACCACAGTGGGAAGGATTCCCCTCATCCACATTTAATATGTGGATTAGAGGAATTGGATAATTTTCTTTCATTCAACCTACTGGTTGAACGAAAAATAAATGATCAGTGTAAGGGCTGCCTTAACTTATAGACATAGCTGAAAGAGGCAGATGAGGGCTATACCCCCTCTGTCCCTGCTCTGTTATGGCTCCATATGGAGTCTTAGTATGACAGAAACAAGTCACAAAGAAGTACGTAACTAGTGCTGAGTCTTTTGCTCTGAAAAGCAAGTGTCATGAGTGCACCCTGCATTAAATACCTATTTGTAAAATACAATGAAATTGGCCATTAACTACTATAATTGCCCTTTAATGAATGCTTCTTGAAGTGGTATTTTTTTAATTTTTTGTTTGGCGTAAGGAAGGGAAAGAACCTCATTTTGTTTTTGTTTTTTTCATTATCCCCACTGGGGAGACTTCTCCTTGTTTTCCGTCTTTAAAACACAAAGTAAACATAATCTCCCTAACAGGGACACAGGGTGCAATGAAAGACTTCCTTCTGTAATAGTGAAGGTGCTTTTCCTGCTGTCAAAAAAATTCAGTCTTACTAACTTTAGGCCTGTACTCTGTCTTTAAGTGGAATTAAAGTTCTGCTGTTATTGACTATGAGCAGGCAGGCTTTTTTTATTGCAGAATAGCCATGCAATGTCACAGAAATCCCCAGCATACGCAGCTCAGCTTACAGTGGCCGGTCCTATCCCTGTGTGCTGAAATGATTAGCTCTTGTGCATGCACAGGAGTGACGTCATCCCACATTAACCATGGAAGATGGCCAAAAACCGGCACACAGAAAAAGATGCCGGAGCTGGCAAGGGACAGACCGGTGGAAGAAAGGTGAGTATTCCTCCCTTTAGTTCTACTTCCAGCTTACCTGACCTCACAGATTAGCTTCCAGCTCATGAGTGTACATAACAGTATCAAGTAATGTAACTTTTTACATTCCTCTAACAAAAGGTTTCACTTATTTACTGTTATGAACATTTAAAAGCTGTCCATAAAATTGAATTTTGGAGATGGATTTGGAGCCTGGAGAAAAGTGCGTCCATTATGGTTTGCTATTAATTTTTGTTAATATATTTTGTTATATATGCCATTTGCTGCTTTTTTCCCTAAATACTAATAAAAGGAAATTAAGCTTTAATTCAAGTTCAAGATATCTTCACTAGGCTTAGTAACATCATTCCTTTGGGAAAACATTGCTAGTAAGGCCATTTGCCAAGGTCTGTAACATGACATACATGATGTTAATGTGCTATAGTATTCCTTTAGTATTGTAGAAGAGGATCAGAGTATTTGTACAGGAATTTCCATGTCTCAAGGGAGTTGCACAATGGTGTAATGCCATTTCTGGACCAGTCTGAGAGGCAAGGTTCAATAAATAGTATATAACATTATTGAGATACTAGATCCCACAGCATACAAGCAGTGAGAGATACCACAGGAAGGCTGAGTAACAGAGATAAAGCCCTAGCTCCCTCCGCTATGGCACCTTGCCTGGCTGTTTCCTGGATTTACAATCTTGTACTAGTTTATAACAATGGCAAGAGACAGGAATATCTTGCAAACACATGATATTACAGATGTTTTATCCATTGTGTGCAGGTGCCAATATTTTAAGAGACTCAGCTGGGAATGTAAAACTTGGTGACTTTGGGGCCAGCAAACGCATCCAAACCATCTGCATGTCTGGGACCGGAATTAAATCAGTGACAGGGACCCCGTACTGGATGAGCCCAGAGGTGATCAGCGGAGAAGGATATGGGAGGAAAGCGGATGTGTGGTAGGTATTCCAGATTAATTCCCTAGTGACTGATAAATTGAATCAATGTGAAAAGAACATTGTTGAATACATACGAATAGCCAGTGCAATAATCTGTCAACATGGCTTAGAAATATCAATACAAAAATGAAACCTGAGAAAACAAATGAATGCATTCTTTCCAAAAAGGATTTATAAATGAATAAAACCATGTTAACTATGCCAAGAAAACTGAAACCTGCTGGAGATAACCATAAACAGGGTGTCAATGAAGCACATAAACCATTCTGCATGAATTTGGTTGCATGTACTAAGATCTGATTAGGTTTAAACCTGAACTCCAAGCAATAAGGCACCCCGACCAGACAGCACTAGCTGGCAGATTGCCTCACTTTTTAGCTGCTGCAGAAATATAGGTTGATCACTAACCTGCCCCTGCCTGCTGATTGGACAGTGATAAAGTCATCATTCTATCAGTCTCTCACGTGGATAGCACGCACCTAGTGCTAGCCATTCTGGTATACAGTGCCTTCAAAAAGTATTCATACCCCTTGAAATTTTCCACATTTTGACATGTTACAACCAAAAACGTAAATGTATTTTATTAGGATTTTATGTGATAGACCAACACAAAGTGGTGCATAATTGTGAAGTGGAAGGAAAATGATAAATGGTTTTCAAAATGTTTTACAAATAAATATCTGAAAAGTGTGGCGTGCATTTGTATTCAACCTCCTGAGTCAATACTTTGTAGAACCACCTTTCGCTCCAATTACAGCTGCAAGTATTTTTGGGGATGTCTCTACCAGCTTTGCAAATCTAGAAAGTGAAATTTTTGCCCAGTCTTCTTTGCAAAATAGCTCAATCTCTGTCAGATTGTATGGAGATCGTCTGTGAACAGCAATTTTCAAGTCTTGCCACAGATTCTCAAGTGGATTTAGTTCTGGACTTTGGCTGGGACATTCTAAAACATGAATATGCTTTGATATAAACCATTCCATTGTAGCTCTGGCTGGATGTTTGGGGTCGTTGTCGAAGGTCAACCTTCGCCCCGGTCTCAAGTCTTTTGCAGACTCTAAGATTACTCTGTATTTGGCTCCATCCATCTTCCCATCAACTCTGGCCAGCTTCCCTGTCCCTGCTGAAGAAAAGTATCCCCACTACATGATTCTACCACCACCATGTTTCACAGTGGGGATGGTGTGTTCAGGGTGATGTGCAGTGTTAATTTTCCGACACACATAGCGTTTTACGTTTAGGTTAAAAAGTTAAATTTTGGTCTCATCTGACCAGAGCACCTTCTTCCACATGTGTGGTGTGTACCCCACATGGCTTCTCGCAAACTGCAAACGGGACTCCTTATTGCTTTCTTTCAACAATGGCTTTCTTCTTGCCGCTCTTCCATAAAGGCCAGATTTGTGTAGTGCATGACTAATAGTTGTCCTGTGGACAGATTCTCCCACCTGAGCTGTAGATCTCTGCAGCTCTTCCAGAGTTACCATGGGCCTCTTGGCTGTATCTCTGATTAATGCTCTCCTTGCCCAACGTGTCAGTTTAGGTGGATGGCCATGTCTTGGTAGGTTATAGTTGTGCCATACTCTTTCCATTTTCGGAGATGATGGATTGAACAGTGCTCTGTGAGATGTTCAAAGCTTGGAATATTTTTTATAACCTAACCCTGCTTTAAACGTCTCCACTTTATTCCTGACCTGTCTGGTGTGTTCCTTGGTTTTCATGATGCTGTTTGCTCACAAATGTTCTCAATCAAACCTCTGAGGGCTTCACAGAACAGCTGTATTTATACTGAGATTAAATGCCACACAGGTGGACTCTAATTAGGTGACTTCTGAAGGCAATTGGTTCCACTAGATTTTAGTTAGGGGTATCAGAGTAAAGGGGGCTGAATACAAATGCACGCCACACTTTTCAGATATTTGTAAAAAAAAATTTAAAAACATTTATCATTTTCCTTCCATTTCACAATTATGTGCCACTTTGTGTTGGTCTATCACATAAAATCCCAATTTACGTTTTTGGTTGTAACATGTGGAAAATTTCAAGGGGTATAAATACTTTTTCAAGGCACTATAAAGTTCTCCATCCACACTAAACAGCAGCGTGGATAGACTCATCTCTATTGCCAGCTATTGTATTCAAGTAGCTGCAATGGCTTCTTGAATACCCGAACAATGACTGTATCTAATTGGATGTAGTCACTCTTCGGCAGACAATTTTTACCACCCAGCCTTTTTGATTTTTCAGTCTAAGTTTTCTAGTCAGGTGGTGCCAACAGAGTTACCCATGGCTTAAATTTCAGCCGATTCAGCAGGCAATGCAACCATGAAATAGAGCCCCGTTAAATCACAAAAGTGCCTCTACCTGTACAGGGATTACTTGAAGCTAATATTAAGACAGATTTGAGTACACTAACTGTGTTTGAAAAAAAATAAAAATTTATATATAAAATTGTGTGTGTGTAAATGTGTGTGTGTGTGTGTGTGTGTATATATATATATATATATATATATATATATATATATATATATATATATTTTATTTTTTTTTTTTTTTTTAATGAACATTAATTAAATTGTGTTTTTTGTATCTTTCTGGAGTCCAGCTTTAAAAAGTCAGTCCATGCCAGTGCATTAACCTTACCACCAGATACTTTGGGGTTGATTTACTAAAACTGGAGTACAGAATCTGGTGCAGCTGTACATGGTAGCCGGTCGGCTTCTAACTTCAGCTTGTTCAATTAAGCTTTAATAATAAAACCTGGTTTCTGTGCAGAGCTCCACCAAATTTTGCACTTTCCAGTTTTAGTAACACAACTCTCTGTTTGTAGACCTCCCCTGATATCGATATAGCTATAGCAACAACTAGCACAAAGAAGGGATTTATTTCCTGCTGTATGACCTTTTTCACAAACATTTAATATCTAGGATATCATTAGCATGTTCAAGGGCTTGGAGGAGAACCTGGCTGAAGGCATTGCAAGTATTTTTTTTGCGCGCACACAAAAAAACTTACCCAACTCTTCATTCTACATAGAGTGTACCCCAAGCCCCAAAATCTCCTTTAGGGGCTTTGCAGAGACACTCCAGATTGACCTAGATACCAGAATGGTCCAGTTGACTTAATTCATATATCATGGAGGTTCCCTAAACTTCTTAGATACTGGTAGCCAGTAAAAGGCACATATCAATACTACCTTCTCCGCTAAATTACCCTGCACTTCCTGCATGTGCTTACTGTGCCCACTAGATGAAGAATATAATACTCCCAAGATACTTGCCCACATTATTGGGTTCTTGTTTGTCTCACGCAAATTAATAGCACAGAAATGGTTGTCCAATAGTCCACCGATCTTTGAGGAATGTGGAAAACAAGTTAATCTTCTCCTACCCAGCATAGGGGTTGTACACAGAATCCCTGAACTATGAGATCCAGAGTTGTTGGTGGCAGGCCTGACACCTTTTGCGTTGATTACACAAAGGCTATTTCAGTAACTCCTATAGTGCATAATGTAGACTTGGGTTGCTTACCACTACACTGAAACCAGCTTTGTCACACAAATGCTCTTTTGTATATGTTTTTGATATCTCTTTGGTCTGTGATTGAGTTCACGAACCATTGGATGTTAAATAGTTCTATTTGACTTTTGTGGCCTGCAAGGGTACAAGCCATTAATACCCTCAAAGATGATAATGAATTATAATAGACGAGGGAGAAGTCTCTCTGGAAGTACATGCATATTCATCGTTGTATGTACATATACATACATACATTGTATCATATATACAGTATACACACAACAATGAATATGCTTGTACCTCCAGAGGGAATTCTCCCACATCTATGATGGTAAAAGATATACATTGTAGAAGAAGCTCCTCAAAGTACCATTGATGACTAAATCAGCTTTATGATATACAGTAGATATTATTGACATGTTCACGAGGACTGTTTTTAGAAGTGTAATGCTGTTATTTTCTTCTGTTTGTCCTAAAGGAGTGTGGCATGCACAGTAGTGGAAATGCTGACAGAAAAACCACCGTGGGCAGAATATGAAGCCATGGCCGCCATTTTCAAAATAGCTACCCAGCCAACAAAGCCCAGACTGCCGGACAATGTTTCAGATTCTTGTAGAGATTTCATGCAAGTAATATTTGTGGAAGAGAAAAGGAGGCCCACAGCAGGAACTTTTAAGGCATCCTTTTGTTAGTCATAGTATTTAATTTTTTTGTCATTGTAGACAATGTAAACAAATGAAGGATTATACAGTACAGAAAAAATGGAATCCACAAAGACGTGCGTCTTCCTGCTGCTTGTGCTGGAAGGACATATACAATCTACACACTGCTACAAGTCATACAAATGTATCAAGTAGTACAGTACTGGAGGACTGTCGGAGGTCAAAGAATATTTAATTCCCATAACATTTTGTTTGGAATTATATTGGGCCTTTTGCTTTATGAAAAGTTAAACTCAAGGCAGATTATAAAAAAACACCAATGAATTAAATAATGTGGTCATTAAAATTTTACAGGTATTTTAAATTAAATGAATGAAGTACTTAAATTTCAGCCTCCTGTAATCCCATGCAGAGCAGCACTGCTGATGGTGAACATTCTGACAGAGAGTTGACCTCATCATTTTTTATCTGCCTAATAATTGTCCAGTCAGCAAGTTGGGGAAGGGTAGTTCACCTAAGGGTATTCCCTTAAACTGGAGCACTCAGGATCTGGTGCAGCTGTGTATGGTAGCCAATCAGCTTCTAATTTCAGCTTGTTCAAATAAGCTTTGATGAAAAAAACTAGAAGCTGATTGGTTTCTATGCAGTTGCACCGGATTTTGCACTCTCCAATTTTAGTAAATAACTTCTCTAATGTTTTAGACCAAGCTGTGCTGCTGCTGTATGCAGATCGATGACCTGGCTTTGCTTTCTGGCAGGGGTACCTGGAGGTTGTGCTGCACAGAATTACAAATCCTTTGGTAGATAAAACAGTCCTCATACTGTATATGTATTTTGCTGCATATTTATAGTTGTTTCTTACCTGGAGTTTATCTTTAGGCCACACTGTTTTCTTTAAATGAGTGTTGGGTAACTAATGTTTTGAGAGAGCTCTGTTTTTGGCCTTTGGGTTTTCAAGAAAGTTGTTGCTTTTAAGTTGGTAAATCAAAGAATGTAGTTAAGAAAATACTTTGTGGAATTGTATGACACGTTCAGTGCATGTAGGGAATGATCTGTTTGATTGGACAATTTAGTCCTGTTATCTGCTGGAGCAGTGCCTTCTATCACTGGGAAGGATTCCCAGTGTTTTTTCTTGGTGGGTTCCATGCCTGCGTGTGACATCACACATTTGATAAAAGTGGGATGGGGCTTCCTTGCCTGGTAGATTGATGAGGCTCGTTTGCAGAAATGTGCTACTATGTCTACTATGCACACATATAGGATGTATCTAATCAGGGATTACCTCTGGAAACCAGCAATATTTAACAACTGTATGCATTACAATGTTTCCATATACACAAAACAGTGTGGGGTTGATTTACTAAAAGTGGAGAATACAAAATCTAGTGCAGTTCTGTATAGAAACCAATCGGTTTCCAGTTTTATTTTTTTGTCAAAGCTTAATTGAACAAACTGAAGTTAGAAGCTGATTGGCTACCATGTACAGCTGCACCAGATTTTTCACTCTTTAGTTTTAGTAAATCAACCCCTTAATGTCACCATGGGTCAGAAATGGCTTCCAAAAAAAGTCTGGGTCCAAAGACTGAGCACCTTCATACATGGACCCATTGGTTTCTGGTGATCTAGAGGGTACCACATTCCACTGCTAGGGCCACCAGGGAGAACACCTGGCTTGCAGTTAAGTTTAGGAAAAAGGAAGAATCATTCATAAACAGTCATATTGTGTTTTGAAGCTTTTAATGTTCATAAAAAGAACAGGACTTGGAGATCTGATGTTCTGGGGCATACTGGCCACTCTAGACCATACTATATTGTATAGATTGTCTGAAATGAATCACCAGTGTTGCTCATTGTAAAACACACACAGTGGCTACAGTAAGCTAAAATGCTGTGTTAGCAGCTTGCCATAATAAGTTATTAGCCCCTTAGATCTATGAGGATTCCCCTAACAACTAGCTGGTTGAAGAGTGGCATGCAAAAAGCAGAAATGTGCTGGGATTAGTGGGACAAAGGCAAATATAACAGATCATTACAGATACCGATCGATCACAGATTGTTATGATTCTATTATTAATTGTGCCTCCTTGAAATATGAAATGCCAAAAAACATCAGGGCTTGTCTGTGAAGAACAAGAAGGTTATTGTTGCCCATAGCAAACTATCTTCACAAAGTCTCTCTGCAGTTGTAAATTGCAGATATCATAACAGATCAGCACCCCTCCAAGTCCGCAGTGTCAGTCTCCCAAGTTTGCACTCTCTGTTCAGGTGCTGGCAGAAATAGAGCACATCTCGTTCCAAAATATAATATAGCATGTAGATACTACTGCACACTGTATTCAACTCCAATGTAAAGTGTATGAAAAACTGTCTTCAGCTCAAATCCCAGCCTATCGGACTTTGTAGGTTGTTATGAAAATGTTCCTGTTAGCGCACTTTTCACACAAAGCCTCATCTTCCCTTCATAATTGTAAGAGTCATTAACTATATCTGCTGTCTAGGTTTTTTTTCACACATTTCCCTTTTATGGACCAATACCATTACACCGGCACAGTGCATTCAAGTGGAAAAGGTATTTAATATACTGTGAATGAACAGCAAAAATGTGTTTCCTAAAATGTACAAATTAAGAAAAAATATATATTTTATATATTACATTTTAAATAAAAATAGAATAGGGCGCACTGGAGAAGAAAATAGAACTGGATAATTAATTCAGTTTATATTTGGTCATTGCCAAAGATCAAAAGCAATTTCCAATAATGAAACACAATAGAGGAAATCGTACCTGATAATCAATTAACTTCTATTATGTAATATCTAAAATATGCCTACTGAGGCTGAACCATATTCTATTATTGATCACTGACCATGCAGAAGATTAGTGCCCTTTATTATATCATGCTCCACGTTGCCTTGCAGGTTAGACATGTGTATTGTTGTGTGAACCAGGTTGTAGCAGAAACGTTTCCCAATAATTATCTGTTCATTTTCTCTAGTTGATTTGCCTGCTTCAGAGTTCACATTTTGGTTTGTTTTTGGAAAGTAAGATGTTGTGAGCGTTATAATAATGACAGCAGAGTCATTGGGGCAGCACCAAGCCTCAACATTTACAAACTGTGTTCATTTTTTTCTATTTTGGCCACCACAGAACACCTATGGCTGAATTCAGCAATAAAACTGTAGAGGAAAGGCAGTGAAGGTGATGCTCGGAGGAGTCACAAGACTCACTATAGTTACAAAAAACATGATCTCTCCTTTATTTTTTTGTTGCTCTATATATTTTAAAGATTGTGAACATAAAGAACACAGCATATCCCGACCGTAGTTTCTGTGAACATAATGACATAAAGGAAGGAATGGAACTTGTTCAAAATAGCATCTTTATTCAGGGCAGCATTGCTTGTGGGTTTCCTGAATGGCAAGACTTGCAGTGCTTTTAAACCTATAACCTGAACTTGCTATGTAGTTTTTGCCGCTTGTGAAATGTGATATTGAATACAGGACACATTTTTATTTCTGCATAAAATAAATTAAATATACGTCCTAGCAAATGCCTTTGTAAGGTGATAGGAAATGATTGGGGGCTTGCTTATAGAAAGGAACAAGCTCCAGGTGACTGTAAGCAGTGTGGTGATTTACAGACTTAGTCCAAAGGACAGGCATACAAAATGACATTAAAAAGTGTATTCTCCTTCATGCCAAGCAAGTGCACGGCACAACAGGGCTAGGCAAATCACAAGACTATGTCAATACTTTTCAAATCTTTCAGCAGGTAAAACAGACCTTACTGTACATACAGTTCATAGTTCAGCTATGAATAAACCTTACGGCTGGCCCCCTTACAAAGGAAAGTTTGTGGGAACTACAAGAAAAGAGTATTGTGGATATCACTGGGGTTTCTATGGGTAATGCCACATTTCTCATACAGTAAATAATTCCTTTCATAAATGACCCCCAATACATTCTGTAGATGTTGATTTTGGATTGACAGTGGGGTACACCCAAATACATTCTGTAGATGTTGTTTTGGATTGACAGTGGGGTCAATGAACTCAGACTGGGAATAATATTTGAGTGAGTCCCTGAATATGAAAGACAATTTTGTATGCATCAATGACCAAACTGACTTGTATTTCACTTTTGTCTCTTTTGATAATAAAAATAAGAATAATGTATTATGTGATCAGGTTTTTGGTTGCTTGTACTTCATCCTTGTATTATCCCTCATTATTCGTAGACTACAATGAGGGAAAAAAGACGCTTAATTCCAGCTAGCCGCTGTGAATTTCTTTTTTTTCACATTGTTTTTGATGTGTATAGTTAAAATTAAGTAAAATTATGGAAATAATGTTATCGTCGAGAGAAGGTGTGCATCTTACGTGAGCTACTGTTGTCACTGGCCTCAGGCTTCATGCACACTGGCATATTACATAGTTACATAGTTCGTCTGGCTGAAAAAAGACAAAAGTCCATCCAGTTCAACCATAGAAAAAAAAATTGCATTAACACATGTTTTGCCTATACACATGGTTATATCCCCTTTGTATGTTTGGCCCCTTAACTTAATATTTGGTTGCACACCCTTTGGAAAACATAACTGAAATCAGTCGCTTCCTATAACCATCAATAAGCTTCTGACACCTCTAACCCACCCGGAATTTTGGACCACTCTTTCCTTTGCAAACAGCTCCAGGTCTCTCTTATTGGAAGGACAAAAACCTTTTCCCAACAGCAATTTTAAGATCTCTCTCCACAGGTGTTCAATGGGTATTTAGATCTGGGCTCATTGCTGGCCATAATCATATACCCACAGTTGATCCAGAGGAAGGCAAAAAAAACCCAGTAAAGGATGATCCAATTTGCTGGGAAAACAATTCCTTCCTGATCCCCCGAGAGGCAATCAGATATTCCCTGGATCAACTTTACCTATAAATGTTAGTATCCAGTTATATTCTGTGTATCTATGAAAGAATCCAGGCCTTTTTTGAAGCAATCCACTGAGCTGGCCAGAACCAACT